TGTAAAGAGAAACAAAATTTTATTCATTTTATAAAAAAAATACACAAAATAAGAAAGAAATTATTTTAACAAAAACATTCTTTCTACTTTTATAAAAATATTTCTTTTCTTTTTACATTGTTTCAAATTTTTTAAATTCATGTAACTGGAATCAAATTTCTTTTGAACTCTCTAGACAAAGAATTTTTTTAATTAATTATTTTTTTAAACTATTCATTTTATGCAACACTTTTGTTTCAGAATTGGATGGTTTTTTCACAACTTCATACATAGTAACATTTGTAACTTGCCCTTAATTCAATCATCCTGCTGATGATATAAATACCAACTAGACAGTACTCTCTGTTTCTCCTTGTAAGGAGATATGACTTGTAATTTTGAAACAAATTTCTATTCTTGGTTTCCCACAAAAACCTAATGGTGATATCTTGTTCAGCCCCTGTTCTATTCTATTTTTCTAACAACAATCCTTTGAGAAAGGTCATAGTCTTTTACAAGAAATTAATTAAAAACTATATTTCTTTTGTGCAGAAACATCTTCTGAGTTTTGTCAATTGACAACATATTGTATTAGGTATGATCAAAAATTTTCAAACTATTTGTTTTTTTTGTTAGAAATCTCTGATCAAATTTATCAATTTTTGTGTATGTTATAGCCTATAGTCTACTCTACAAATATTATCAATTTAATTTTTTAATACTCCCCTCCTTTGTCTATTCAAGTCTGCCATTTGTTAGGAAGTAGACTAGTGCCGTTCAGGTAAAACAAGGTTGGTTTTCTCCTTAAATATCTTTGACATCTTTTCCTCCAAATTTTCATAAAGGGATCCTCTGATATGGTCCTTCAATCTCCCAAAAAGATAATAGTCACAGGGAGCCAAATCAGGGCTGTATGCTGAGTGAGGGCACAATGACCACCCCTTGGAATATTATTTGTTTTCCAGATCTAAGTCTATGTAATCTCTTCCTTAGCCTCTTTAGGGTCTTAACATATTGTATTGAATTGACTACTTCTCCATACTCCAAGAATTCAATGTGGACTAAGCCTGAACAGTCTCAAAAAACTGAGCACATCAGTTTTCAACTGATTTAGGTGGATATGACATATGCTTACAAGTCAAAGAAGACCTTTTTGATTCTGGATCATACAGGTGTACCCAGGTTTCATCTCTAGTCACAATTTTCTCTAAAAAGTCTTCTCCTTCTGCTGAGTATCTTTGGAGTAGCTCCATACACCTCCATACAATGACTCAGCCTTACCTGCTTCTAGTTTACATTAAGAGCATAAGATCCATTTTGCACAGATCTTTCTGTACCTCAGCTCTTTTATAATTTTTGCCACAGCCTCTTGACAAATATCTAATTTTTTGGCAATTGTTCTCTGAGAAATGGTCTGATCTTCTCTGTTAAGCCTGTCAATTGTTTCTCTGAGTTTGAAACTTTTCGATTGTACCTAACATTACAATCAGCAAAAAGTTTTAAAAAAAATCTTATCATTTTGTAAATCTAAACAAATAGTCTGGATTATTTCAAATTTTTATTGTTTGATTATAATAAAATAAAGAGATTAAAAATGGCTACTTTCTCTTTTGAATATTTTATAAAATTTACCAAAAGTATGATTATGCATTGTTACTGTTTTCATCTTAATCTTTTCAGTTGGTGTAGGGCTGAACTGAGGGTTAGGAAGAATATATTGGAAAGAAGCTTGACAACTCATGGGTTAGGGTTAATATTATTATGCATATCTGTCTGTACACTTAAAAGATCCGTCATATTGATATTTAAAAAATGAAAATGCTGGAACTTGGAATATAACAAAGAACAAAAGAATAGAATAAAAGAAGTATAAAACTTACATGCTACACCTATTAAAAGTCTTATTAATAGAAATGTGATGCAAACACTTGGAATACAGAAAAGGGTAATCAATATTTCAGGTGATAATCATTAATTATTAATTTTAAATATCATTATTCCTTACAACAATGATATTGGGAAATTAAAAATGCACACCAACAATTCTATAAAGTTGTCTACACTATCATCTAACCTTTGAATCTAGAAACACAGCCCTGTCGAAATATAGAAGAGTAGAGAGAATTTAAAACAAAACAAGATGTATTTATTTATTATCATATATATATATATAACTAAAATATTAAAATAGTCTACCATGAATAATCAAAATAGAAACTTTCAAATATTCCAAAAGAGAGAAACCAACCTTACACTATTTTAAACTGCATTCAAAGTTTACAGTTTCAATGGTATAATCATTTATTGATAGTAAAAATTGTTCATTACCTATTTTATCATTCATAAAGATATTAAAATTTATTAGTTTTACAAAATAGTAGTGGAATTATTCTCTTTTTTCAGGTATTAGTCATAAACAGTTGAAAAACAACTCATTACCAATAGAAGAGATTTTAATATGTTAAAACGTACCCACTAGAGGGTTAAACCGTACCCATAAAGGGGTTAAACTGTACCCATTAAGAAGTTAAACCATACCAACTTTAAAATAATTAACATACATTAACAAATGTATTATTTTGAATAATATTATATATACTATATATATGTGTGTGTAAATTATTAAATTAATTCCATAATATTCTGTTACTTAGAATATACCAGTTTTTAATATTTGTACTCATTTCAAGTCAGCCATTTTGATTTATTTCTGATATTGATTTTACAGAATTCTCAGTGAAATATTATTTTGGGAATCTATCCAAAATAAAACAAAGGTAACTGAATTATTATTGATGATAATAGCACTTTTTCATAACTTTGGAAATAAGTTTATTAGAGTAAATCATGAAATAATAATTGTCTATCATTTTGTCTTTTGCTGTATGGCATTAGGTAAAGGGTTTAAATATTTTTAAAATATTGGAAAAAGCTTGATTAATTCTAAATACAAATTGAGTACTATATAAAAAGGAACTGTTTTGATTTGGCAAATCTGACAAATATTTCAATGTCAATTTACAGAAAGATTGGGATGATCCTAATATATAATAGTTAAAATTTTTAAATGATATGTTAACACCTTCCATTGCATCCCTCATGGGAACATTGGATTATATATCAAGGTGTTGGGCAGACACATTGTTATCACTTATAAAAGCAGAGAAATTTTCTAGAAGATTGGGGTTAGTTGTCACACAGTCACCAAAATAAAGTACTACTGTACAACTTTGGTTATATTTTACATGCTTGAACTCTATTATTTGATGCAACATATACATGTACATCTTAAAACCTACACAAGAAAATGCTATAACATTGGCCAAACATAAGTCTGATTAGTCAGCTTGAAGGCTCATCTTTAATTACCAATAAAGGTTTGGCCAAGTTATAATTTAATTAACTTGCCTAGGGTGTGGCCAAGTTATAATTCAATTAACCTTCCTAAATGTTCAACCTTCTAACATCCTCTTACTAAAGATAAATATGAACTACACATTTCGGCAACTGTAAAGTGATGATTGGATGTCAGAGACAAACCTCAAAGTATATAAATCCTCATTATTCTCATTTGGCATGCAGCTTCCATCTGGACCCAAGGACCTGGGAAAATCATCTGGAAACAACCTCCACTGGAACCATCCATCTACTCCTCAACATTGGAAGACAGTTTGGTAATTTGGCAACCTGCTATTACAAACTATCTACTCTGCTATCGAACTCTCATATTGTTACTTGCTTAAGTATTATTATTGCGAATAAACCGTTTTAATTTAAACATTTGTTTAAAGGTTCGAGTAGAACCAGTATTGTTATAACTTGCAAACGCATAGATTTTGCCAGCAAGAGCAGTACACTACTTAAAGTCATTGAAAGTTTGCCAGCAATGGTAAGCTAACAGCCCCTGTCAAGTAAAAGTAAGAAACATATATTTTCTGTGTAGAGTGATAATTCTTTTTTTTTAAATATGCAAGAGAAAAAACTCATTTTTCATGTTGTTACAATGACAAGCGTGGAGAAAATAAATTTTACATAAGCTGATTAATGAATAAAATAGGATCCATCTTATCTAAATGCTAAATATACAATGTATCTTTTCAAAGGGATAAAAAGCATAGAACAAATTGAATATATTAAATGCCAAAGCTTTAATTAAATATTTCTCAGTATCTAATAGATTATTACAATTAATGGAAAAAAGACATTTGATTCCTGACTGTATTATTTCATTAATATCATTTTGCATTCTGGCAAAAGATTCACTTAATTCTTGTTTGAAAAGGCTTTTAAAGTCGATTTTTGCATGTAGCAACAACATAGACTATAAGCTTATTAGTTTGTAATATTTGTTGCCTTTGCCAAGTTGATGGATGAAATTTTCATTAATTAACACAGATTAAGTCAAATTTTTAAAGAAAAATAACATAAAAAGACTAAGTTATTGTACCATAAACAGTAAATAGGCAAAAAGGTTTTGCAATCATCTTGTCAAGTTGTCTTCTTACATTTAGACAGAGATATTACTGATACAAAATCATTTCAAATTGCTTCCTAGACAATTTTCTTCTCAGTATAAAAGACAAATTTCTTTCATCTTGCATATTTAGCTTACCTTGTCTACCAATTTTTAATAACTTGTCAATTGTGTCATGTTTTTTGGAAACTTTTTCCAGATTCTTATTTTCTAAAGTATCTTTAATTTCAATATATTAATAAGAACTATTATCAATTGGCAATAATTAATCATTTAATATCTTCATATCTAACATATTCATTTTACAAAGTGGCTGCAAACAATTTGCCATTATTTATTTCACGGTTGTCATGGTAACAATAAAAAAAGAGCCTTTGATATTTTCTCTCTCTCTCTCTCTCTCTGTATTCAATGATTTAAAATAGAAATCCTGTAGATTTAAGTGTATTTTTTTTAAATGAATATCTATTAGGAACATTAGAGACTAAACAAATTGTCTCTCTGTCGAATAGTGTTTTAGAATAATTCAAAAATTTTAGTATTTACATTATAAGTTTATTATATTGTAATGACAAACTTTCATATTTTCATTTGTATCTCCAAACGCTTTGATATAAACTGCTTGACAGTATTGCAGTCCACAACTGCAAAGATATTTACAATTTGACATATCATCTCCAGATATTAATGAACAACCCAGAAAAGATTCTTCGAATAGTGGATCAACTTGCATAGCTATGGGAACATAGACTAAAAGTCCAGTGGGCGATAATTGATCCATTTTATCAATACATTTGTTAAAATTATGTCCAGTAATTTCAATGTAAAAATTCTGGTTGGCATGATCAACTGATGGCCAAGGTACTCTTAAACTAAACTGCATAGCTAGAGAAACATCAACACAAGTTTCAGGGTTGTCACTATCGGTAATATGTATTAATTTTGTGTCTTTTTGTCGAATGGTATCTTTGAAAACTGGTCCATTAACGCAGGTATTGATGTAATTCAATTCTCTGAAGGTAGGAGAAAATGTGTCGCAAATGGTAGTTTCCTGTGTCGAACACTTATTTTGTTGATTATCGAATGTATAAACAAAATATTCGCAAGTTGATTCAGAAATGCAGTTATCTCTGCAAATAGTAAAATCTTCCGTATCAAATTCAGGTTCAAAATTGCAATTGGCACTGTAACACGTGACCTTTTTATATGCTGTTCTTTGATAAGAAGAGATTTTATCATGAACAGTACTGCCTGAAACTTTACAATTTTCAGTAGTCAGAATGCAAACAGTTGTTTCGGAATTGTAGGTAAAACATCTACAAAGAGATTTTGACAAACATCTTCTATTGCACTCTTCAAGGCTAATAGAAATATCAACTTCCAAGTATGTAGTGAATTGTCCTTCTCTCCTTGTTTGTACAAAACCCGGTACAGACGTATCGTCGTAATAGCAAACATTGTTTGAGAAACAGCAGCCATTGAGATTGCACTGCGATTGTGTGGTTGTTGTCGATCCGCAGATTGTATTAGAAATTCTTGAACATCTTGCATTCACCTCAACGGTGTCGCATATTCCATCTTTTGGACCAGAGTATATAAAATCTACATTGTCCACCAATGAAACACCAACTTCTGCAGGAGTAACGCTATTGAGGAAGCACCTCTTTAGGCCTACAGTTTCCAGATCAATTGACCTATTTTTTTTTCACTCAAGTAGATAAAATGATAAAAATTATATTTTAAATCATACTTGCATAAAACGTTATTAATGCAGAGCAATTTGCATTTTTCCAACGTTTCGCCTTCCTGAAACGTCAGATCATTTGAATGGATCACCTTCCCTTCCAGAGTTTCAGTGAAGCATACTACAAACAGATATCTTTATCATTGCTATCATTCTATTATAAATTATATATTTACTCTGTCTTCCTTTTGATAGATTTATTACGCAAGATATAAGATATATTGCGTAAGGAGAAAAGCAAATATTTAAAATATCTACCATCCTTAACTTTTCTCTCTTTCAAACAGACTTCTCTTCTTCTTTTCCTCTTTCTCTTTAAACTTGAGAATTTCTATTCAAAATGTATAAATAATCCAAGATTTTTCCATTTCAATTATTCAATTGTTTGTAATTGTGAAAAATATAAAAAATTAATCATCAAATTCTTCAGTTTTCAAACAATTAATTGTAAAGAAAAGAATTCAGCCTATATTCATTGTAAGAAAGAATAATGCTGCACTATTAGTTATTGAACTGTTGGATGAATGAGAATAAGTGTTTCAAAATTATAATGTATTCTATAAATAAACAACAGATGGAGCCAGCCATCATTGAATTGGTAAAAGAATGCAAAAAATTTATTAAGAAGTTTGAATGATAGTAATAGATGCTTTTTCATTAATACAACCATAATTCTCCCAATGGAATTTATCATTCTTCTTCAAATCTAGTAGAAGGGTTCTTGTAAACAAGAAATCCTTATCTAAACTACTCATCTTCATTGATAATGCAACTCTTTCGCCGTTCAAAAACATTCTCAACTCCAATTTTGAATTGTAATACTTTTGAAAAGTAAACTCTAAAAAGTAAATTCCAGCTGTTTGTACAATGTATTCATTTCTAGTTGCATTCCAAGATGAAGTTGAGTCCATGTTGATAGTTTTTAAATTAACTCGCCTAAACTCATTGCAAGTACTATCTGTATTTTCAGCTTGAAAGTAGGCTAATGACTCATTCATCTTAAATGCACTCATGTAAGTTTCAGTATTATTTCCGGCTAATGGTCCAATTGATGAAGAAATAGGCAATATTATATGAGCAGTTAACACATCACCTTCAACTAGATGAACTAGATTCGATCCAGAGAATTGTTCAGTTGCCAAATTTGTTTGAATTGATGCGGAAAATTGCAAAACGGTTGCAAATAGGGCGTTATTGCGAAATATTTGAATATTTAATCTACGTATTCTATGTTCTTCTCTATGACTTAGATCGGACAGCATTCCTGCATTAAGAAAATATAGGCCTGACGATTCTACTCTAAATTGGGATAGGATACTATTCTCTCTAAATCCTTTCATTGCAGTAACCTTAGGCCATTTTACGTATCCTCCTGGAAGACGTCTATCACTTCCGCAAAATAGATAACTATCCGATTTATAATGAAAACCTAACCAAGAAGTTTCTCTTCCCTCAGCTGTACTATAAAGGCTTGTTGGCGATATCAATCTCATTTGAGGTTTAAAGATAGGAGTTAGAATAGCTAGACCAGACCTTGACATAGTTTCTGGGCCTTCGGCACCTTCGTATGCTGCTTTGGTTATGCCAAGATTAATTCCAGTCTTTTCAATTGCCATATTTATTAAATTTCCATTGGTTGTAGTTGATACCATTGAAAAAAAGTACAAACCGGAAGTTCTAATTGCTACCTCATTATTTTCTGCATTAAACATACCACCAGAGTTTAGATTTACCGACTTCCAATTCATAATTCCAGCATTTTCATTTGTTGTTTCGGTTAGAGAGACCATAAAGGCTGGACCATTTTGCGAACATGGTCCATTTGTACATTGTTCACTTTCGGATGATTGACCTTGACAATTGTTACCTCCATTCGACGGAGGAGGATTATTGCACAATCTGGTTCTTGTTCTGGATCCATGCCCGCAGATTGGTTGGCATGTACTCCATTCGGACCATTCACTCTAACCTCCGTGTATTGGTTGAGAACCACCAGAAGATTTCCTACAAATTTCACCAGAACATTTGTCAAAGTTAAAATTTGGGTTAAATTTTGTCTGAGGAGGACATTGTTGAGGCCAAGCCAGACCATTAACGCAATTAAAATAAAGGGAAGGATTTGTTGAGCTTGCAACGGTACTATTCAAATTTGGTAGACATTCATTAGCTTTTATTTGAGGTATTTTCTCGTGAATAATAGAATCCTTCTTTCCATTTGAATTTTTTACTTTTAAACAATCTGATTGGCTGGATTGAACACAGGCAAAGAAATGGCAAGTTGTAGCTGAAAGTTGAAAATGAAGTCCTGGAGGACACTGTTGAGGATAGGCAAAACCATCAACGCAATGATAATAAATTCCACAAAGATTTGGATCTCTGTAAGCTCCATTAATTGGTTTTTGTTCCGAATCGATTGGACAAACAAAATTCGCATTGCTATATTTCAAAATGTAAATAGCTGTTGAATAAATTAAAAATAACCTTATTAAATCATGAAAATCATTGAAAATATAATAACTTTACCTAAAGTGAACAAGAGTAGATAATTCATTTAAGAGATTTTATAATAAAAATAGAATATTTTCTACAATTTTCTTATCTATAAGAAGAAAAAAAAACTCATTTAAATTTTATTTTAGATCATTTTTCTCCTTCAAAAGGCTTGGCAAAATTTTTAAGTCATTGAACTGACATGATTACTTTTATTTTATGTTTTTTATTTTTTATTATCTTAACGACTAGTGTGTGAGTATCTAATATTATCATATATCATAAGGTTCACTGGAAATTGGTTTCAGATCTTGAGGAATGATTACAATTTTCTTAATATCTTCTTCTCTAATCTATAGTTATTATTGTACAACTTTGGTTATATTTTGCATGCTTGAACTCTATTATTTGATGCAACATATACATGTACATCTTAAAACCTACGCAAGAAAATGCTATAACATTGGCCAAACATAAGTCTGATTAGTCAGCTTGAAGGCTCATCTTTAATTACCAATAAAGGTTTGGCCAAGTTATAATTTAATTAATTTGCCTAGGGTGTGGCCAAGTTATAATTCAATTAACCTTCCTAAATGTTCAACCTTGTAACATCCTCTTACTAAAGATAAATATGAACTACACATTTCGGCAACTGTAAAGTGATGATTGGATGTCAGAGGCAAACCTCAAAGTATATAAATCCTCACTATTCTCATTTGGCATGCAGCTTCCATCTGGACCCAAGGACCTAGGAAAATCATCTGGAAACAACCTCCACTGGAATCATCCATCAACTCCTCAACATTGGAAGACAGTTTGGTAATTTGGCAACCTGCTATTACGAACTATCTACTCTGCTATTGAACTCTCATATTGTTACTTGCTTAAGTATTATTATTGAGAATAAACCGTTTTAATTTAAACATTTGTTTAAAGGTTTGAGTAGAACCAGTATTGTTATAACTTGCAAACGCATAGATTTTGCCAGCAAGAGCAGTACATTATCATTGATAGATTTTTTTACATGATACCTTCATTTAGTGAAAATTTGTAACCAGGACAAAATTTAAATTGGTGTATGACACATTTTCAAATTGTGTCAACAATATGATAAAGATTGAAAGATTCTGTAAAAAATCAACTGGTATATGAATTTGTTTGTACTTGACAAACTGTATAAAATTTATAGAACATGATTTAATAAATTCAAAACTAAAATTTTTGGAAATTTTATTTAAAGAGATATAATTTTTATCTTTTATCATTAATAATTTGTTTTGGTGTGTCGGTTATTTTACAACTTTTAGCTCAATATAACATTCATTCCTTTCGAATTTCTAAAAAAGGATAAAAATTTTCTTTCTTCTATTCCAATTTGCCACTTCCTTACAATTACTTGTATTTGATGAGATTAAATCACTGGAATACTTGAGCAGTACACCTTCAGCAATTCTTTTGCCAGATGAATTTCTATCAGTTAAACAGGTGCCTTTGGTTTCATTTCTAATAAGAATCCTTGTTTCTAAGTTTTTTATTGGTGAATGATTATGTGGGTTTTTGCCAATTACAAAGTTTGTTTCCTTTTGGTTCATGCCTGCTGCACATTTTCTGTTTATACTTCTGATAGAACAGATCCCAGACATTATACAAACAAAGGAAATATGCACTAAACTACAGATGAACAAACATTCAACAGCAGTGGTTTGAGTTCATTTAGTTGTAACCACAGAAAATATATCAACTACTGAAATACATTGGAAATTTACTGCCACTGAAAGAAAATGAAGGAAGAAAGTTTTAAAAATATTAAAACAACTATTGAAACCAACAAATAAAGCCTATAATATTCTATTTAACAATGTAGCATTTAATGTTGAAAGGAATGTAAATAGCAAAGGCTCATGTAGAAACATTAATGAGCAAGGAGAAGAAGAAAAGAGTCAAGGTAGCGTCATAATAGAATAATTTCAATAACGACATTTATATATGGATTTTCTTGGGTTGTTTGTGTATTTCAGTGTTGTAGAAGGAGACATAACCGGAAGAGATTGTTTGAAGAAGTCTAAATGCTATTCAATTATTCATAATCTAATGGAAAGGTGTTTATGAATCATTCAATTTAAGTACACAAGCCTTTATCAATCTTTGTCCCCTTCATTATCCAATAATGTATTAACTTTATTAAGATGAATATATCCAAGGATATTCCCTGTCAATCACAGGGAAATGGAATAGTTTTCATTAAAATTAATACACAAAAAGCTAAATACAAATAAAAGAAGCTTAGTATATTTTGATATGAAACCTATGGATGATTAATTAAAAGCTTTATAAGCTTTAATATCGTGCATTAGAGAGATACAGAGATTTTTCATTCCCATGATGGATAATTACAAATTTAGCAACACTTAAAGGCCTTTATTAGTGTCATATCTTATTTTGTTTAACCTGCACAATCATTGCTTTCATTAAGAAAGATTGTAACTGTCTTAAAAACTACAAATTGCAAGTATAATTAAGTAAAAATAAGTCAAATCTCTGGAAATACTAACAATGATATTCCTGTATTTTATTACAATGATGGAAAGTGTATACTTTTAAGAATAAGCCCTAACCTAACCATTGCAAAACTCTTCAGTTCTTGAAAATGAACAGATACTACTCTAAATCACCATTAAAACCACATTTAAAACCACAATGATATATTTATAACCATTTAATATTCTAAAATGTTATTTTCCAACAAACTGTTGTATTGATAGACTAGGTATCTTGATAGAATACACTTACAATTACAATTACATTGTGTAGAACTATTGCATCTTGATTTGTCATGACGTGAATTGAATGAAAAATTTTCTTTTAAGTTCAAAATTGGCAAACTTCTTGAAAAATTGTCCTAAAATTTCATAAAATATAATGACATATAAAGAGAGCAAAACAGAATTAATGAGCTATTAGCAATAAATGTAGAGGGAGCCACCTGTAACAATGTCAGTTGTTAAATTAAATTTCTCTGTAAAGCAAGAATAAATCCATAATTTTCTTTTATCTTTTCCAACTTGTGTCAATAAACTGGTATAACAGTTTTCTTCCAATAAACTAGACTAATTAATGATGATTTTAATGATGAATTACTTAAAATTGAAATAATTGGATCAAAAATTGTATGTAAAATCATTGCTGAACTGAAAAATTTTGCAATTTTAAGCAAATTTAAATCAAGTGTATGAATATACAATATTCCACAAATAGATAAGACTAACCATAAAAAAACCATAAAAAATAATTGTATTAAAGTTGCTTTTGAAGATTTTGAAATACTTTTTGCCCTGTTTGTTTGAATTTCAATATCATTTGCATGTTTTACAGCAATAGCTATAATATCAATATGTAAAATTATTGCTCCAATTAGATTTAATAGGAAAAATGCTAGATAAATAAAGTAGTATTGATGGGGAAATCTATAACGACCTTGACATGACACAAAATCATCACTACTAGTTGATTTGACATATAATGGAAAAAAACTTTGAACAGCTGAAAATATTAAAATAAATTTAATAAGAAGAAATGATCTTGTAATACAATTTGAAATTCAGTGGATATTTAATCATTATATATCTATATACAAAACTAAATAACATAAATATTTGGGGTAAGTTATAAATAGAGACATCTATTAATTTCATTATTGAACATAGAGTTGGATTAAACATTTCAAAATTCAAGTATAAATCCATGATCGATTCAATAATCATCCAAATTGGCATTACAAGATCACAAATGAAATTGCTGGAATAAATATTACAATTGTATCTGGAATAGTTTTTAATCTAAAATATATAAACAGGAATAAACCATTTAACAATACTCCAAATGTTGATAGTATAAAATGCATAATTTTTGAAAATGTCATTTCTCCAGTTGAATGCAATAAAACAGATGGATTAAAAGGTATTGATTGTGTAATATTTTCAACAGTTTCTTTCATTTCTTCCAACAAACTTTTACTTGGGATGAAAAAACTAATACAGCTCTGCTCTGAGACAGTTTTAAGCATTCTATAATTGCTTTGTGCTAATTATCTGATAAAATATTTATCCTATTTCCTCATTTTTTTACCATTAGTACTCATTAATTTTTTATTATTCACTTTAATAATTATTGTAATCCTAAGCAAAAATCTAGATTAAACAGGAACAGTATGAAGAAAATATCAAAGCTTGTCAACAATTGTAGCTATACTTTCTTCTCAATGTTAAGCTAATTAATACTCAATTAATAATATAGATTTATAATAAATAGTATTCATTTTTCAAAATTGCTATAGTGACTATAAAACCTATTTATCTGCTTGAAAAAAAAACAATAAATTATTTTCTAATGGAAACTGTTAGAGAATTGACAATCTTTCATCTCTACCTCATAATTTCATACATGAATTGTTGATGTGATATTGAAAAGGGGAGACTTTTCTCATTCAACTTAGATGAAAGGAATGTTACATATCATATAAAACTATTAGTTGAAAATAAAATATTTACAGATGGTAAAATCTATTTAGAAACAAAAAACCAAAAAATGGTATTTGCACTGCTCTTGCTTGGCTAATTTATGCATTGCAAGGAATAATTCTACTTGAAGCAAGTCACAATATGAAAGTTGAATAGCAGAGTAAGTAGTGGGTAACAGTAGGTTGCCAAGTTACCAAAATAGTGTCCAATGTTGAGGAAGTAGCAAGGTCCTAATGGATGTTGGTTCCAATTGATCCTCCCAGGTTGAGGTTAGCTAATTGGAGTGAAACAGTCAGGGTTTATATAATTGTAGACTTTTCTCTACTGTCTAATCACCACTTTACAGCTATGAAATGTAAACTAGACAGTTTGGCAGTTGTAAAGTGGTGATTGGACACTAGAGAGAAGTCTTATGTGAGACATAATATTCTGGACAATAGTTTGGGGACTAATATTTTTGTCGTTTCTGAATTTGATGGCCCTCCAATTCAATATATCTTCTTATTCTACCTCCCATTCCAGCATAGAGATTTGGTGTCAAGTTGGGATTTCTACTGACTAGGTCATAAGCACATATTTTTTTTTCTCCCAAAGTTCATTCTCTGTATTGAATTGTGCCCCATCATAAACTAAATTTTTAGTCAGGTGCCACACATTTTCTATTGGGCTAAGATCAGGGCTCTTTGCTGGCCAATCAATTGGATGTATGCCATTTGCCCTGAACACTCTCCTGGTTACTCTTGCTGTGTAGCAACCTGCATTGTCTTGTTGGAACAAGTAATTTCTCCCCATTTTGTCTGAGATTTCTTCAATCACAGGGAGAATATGTTCCACAACAAAACAAAATAGTTTTGAGCATTTAATCTTTTGCTCATTGGGGGATGAGCAAACCTCAAACACCCCATCTGATGTTATTAGTCTCCAAACCATTACTCAACCCTTGCCCATATTTTTGGTCAATCTAAAATCATTTTCACTGTTATTTGTCCATGTCCTGAAGTCATCAGGACCACTAAGTGAAAATCTGGCCTCATCTGTAAAGATGATCTTTGACCAATCAACATTATCTGAAATACTGTCCAAACAATTGTGTTTTTGTCTCAAGCAATTCTTGTGTCCCAGATCAACTCTTTGTCTTATTCTTTTATACTTATAATTTTGCTGTTTCAGGTGCCTCTAAATTGTCTTAAGGCCTACATCTACCTTCAACTCATTTTTAATCTTCACTGCTGTCAGCCCTTCCTTATTTCTTTTAAGCCTCTTCACAATCCTACTCATTCTTGCTACATCTCTTTCTGTGAGTCTCTTTGAACAACCCCTATTCTCTTGTTTGGGTGCCTTATATCTTAGAATATCGCTTATTGTAGACTTTGCTATTCCCAAGCCCTTGCTGTATCCGTTACTTTTCCTAGTTTATTATATTTCTGGATTACTAGGTTTCTAATGTCTTTACCCTACACCATAATTATATGGAGGATATAAAAATGATAAAATGTAGGTAAAACAGATAACAAGTACAGAACTTAACTTTGAAAATTAATTTTGTTGAAAAAATTACTGTTTAAGATGTCTATTTAAACGCAATTCAAGATGTCTGGTTAATTTTGACTTTTTGCCAAGTAAAGAAAAAAATATGACAATTTTCTCTATTGTTTTTTAGTATTTACATAAATGTAACTCTTTTTCATGTAAATTTAGACAAAAAAAACAAATTTAAAACAAAGATAACATTTTTGAGGTGTTTTCAACGTTGGTCTATCAAAATTGGATGTGTCTGGATTTTTTTGTCCTTTACTTTATGTATTGAGAGTTTCTAGTCATTAAAATAACAATAAATTAGTAACCACAGTATGAGTATTATATTTGATTTACTGTTAGAGAAAAGACATAAATTTTTTTTCAAGCTGTTCCTGTTTTATCAATTACCAGAAATATACTGATTAAGTATTTTTTGGATAAAGAAGATCCTTGACATATATACAAACTTTTCTCTAGTTGTAATTCTACTTGGAACTGGCTTATTATTTATTTTTATTACAGCCTTTCATGAATTTTGAGGTGATTGATTTTGTCTGAAACCTAAAAGTCCATCAGCCGATTTATATGATTCCAAATTGTTGATAAAAACATCAAGATGAACCCCAAATATTGAATTTTCAATGATTTTGATAAAGAAGCTGTGTTCTTTACAAATGTGATGATATCTTGAGATTGTAAGATATAGTAAATTATCTTGTATTTTTTACAAAGATAGCTCTTCCAATCTCTTTTGCTATAAATGATTGATCTTTCCATGACAAAATATTGGAATTTTGCCAAATGATATGATCAATACCCGCTTGAAATAAATTTCTATCAATATACACATGTATATTGTGAAGATAATAATCATCCTTCAACTCTCCATATATGGTAATATTATCTGATTCATCCTTAAATATTTCAATTTTATCGCCTTCTTTAGCAGTCACATCGAAATAAATATTTTTATGGATATTTTCACCTCTGCTATCAGAGACAAGCAGTCTAAAATGAGGATCACCATTTCCTCCAGATGGATCAATAATTTGAATAGTTGTAGTTGAAGAATATGCAAAATTTTCAGAACCATAATAGCAGATTGTTCTTCGAGGCTTAATTGAGAAAAGAGAAATATTAACCTTTGAAAACAAATTAGGGAAAAATTTTCTTACACTCATCTTAAAGAACTTGAAGAAACAACATTGAATTTTAACAATCTGGCCTTCTTCATATGGTTGCTTTCCAATAGTAGTAACTGTAATAGAAGCTTCACTGGTTACTGTCTCAAAATCTGCAATGACATAAACCGTTAATCAATTATATATAAAAACTAAAAAGCACTTACTAAGAGAAAAAACCAAAATTATAAAAATACTGATAATTTTTTTCGTGGTGAAAGTTGAAAGTTTTAAATTTGAGTGAGTAGTGCCTCATATTTATAGATGGAAAATCTTTTCAAATGTTTCAATTGTATTTTTGTATGTGATATATAATTTTCTAAAATTATATCATTCGAAACAAGAGAATAGAGAATTTGATACAGATTTTGTCATTGTATAGCAAAAGTAGGCTTATGAAAGATGACTAATAGGATTCTCTAAAAAGTCTAGCCATACAAGAATTCTATCCATAATATTTTCATGACAAAACAGGAAATAGAATCTTAATTAGGCTCTTGTAGTTTCTTACAAATAGCTATTTATATTACTATTATTTTATATTGTTCTCATTACTCTTCATTTAAAAAAGTTATTGATCTCTTTTAAATAAATAATCAAAATACAATCATCTAACAGATGAGAAGTTTCACTCTCTACCTTGGGGACAATCAATCATTTTTTCATTTGAAAAATGAGATTCATAACAAAATCACAAAATCATTAAAATTTGTCTCTGGCTGCTCCTGGATAAGTAATTTTTGTTATACTTCCAACACTCTGATCATTACTAAAGCCACTATCATTGGCAGTTGCATATCCCAAGCCAGGCATTAAAATAGGGTTAGGGTAATGGAAAAGGTTAGGCACAGCCAAGGGTTGAGATTAGGATTAGAGTAAAAGCAGGCATTTATCAATGTTTTTCTGTCGTATCCATTGATAAAAAGAGATTATAAATCATTCTCTTATAAATTTTTTTTGATGATGAATATTTTAATCCATGACAAATATTCTTATAACCCTTTCTAAATGTTGTAATATAGGCATATAAATTTTGCAGGAAATTCTTTAATTATTTATTTTACAATTTCGCTACTAAAAAAAGATAATTCTTTGTCAGAAAGCGTCATTGCTACTGCAAAATTGAAATATTTGCTGCCCAATTTCTGGTGTTATTACACAATTATACTTCTGACAAATTATGCTGTTTAAATACAAATTTGTTCTTATATTATGAAGAGTAAGCTGAATAAGCGACTCCGTTCTCTGTAAAGAAAAAAGAGCAACAAGTATTTTTGGAAAACAACTTGAAATTGATAAATATTTATAATAGATAAGAGTTGGAGAGATATTATATTGAAAATTTTTTATGCCTATTGTTAAAAATCATTAGGACAATCTTTAACATCCACTATAGGCCTATTCAAGTGAAAAATAACCCTTAAATTACTCTGAAAGTATCAATTATTAGATTTTACTACTGAGACTGCAAGAACAACTTAACAGCTACAAGAGTTAATTCATGACAAATTATTATGAATATGGTTGAAAGCGGCCAGAGGTCAGTTGAAAATAGCCAAAATATATATTTTATATAGAAAATGATAAATATAGATGTTAAAAAAATACTGTATACTTAAAATGATAAGAATAGTTTGAAGTGATTTATTTACTAAAACAACATGAAAATGGCAATGGAAAAACTCGTCCCTCAGAAAACTCAGCCCCAATTCTAAACATTTGATTAATTAAGGATATTAAAATGCATTTCATAAATAATGAAATAAATAGAAATAAATGAAAATAAATGAAATAATGAATGAGAATTAGTGAGAAAAAGCGTAGTTCCTTACTTCCTGTTGACAAATTTGAGGAGTGCATAACCCTAATTTGATAATTTGACTTGGTTACTAGAGGTCTATCAAGAATAAAATGTGTTATATGCAATCAAATTCTCCATCAAAAGTGTCATAAAAGTAAGTGTTACACTCTACATAAACTGAGTATTATTGTATTCTTTTTCCCAAAGACCAAAGTCAGTTCATCTGTGCTCTTCGTGAAACATTCCTAAAAAACAAATCAAGATACCTCAACCAGCAAAGAGTGGATAAAGATGAAAATATTGTAGCTATAGGTGAGAATGGTCCCTCTCAAAATCAAGAACAGGGGCATATTCATACTTACATAAATCATGATGATTGCACAAAAGGTTTATTAGATATGAGCAAAGAAAATGAAAATCATACGACTATGAATGAGAGTAATTTGTCTGAAACTCAAGAACATATGCAAATGGATGCTAACATGGATCATGAGAATTATAACATAAATGAAGAAGAAGAAGCAACATATGTAGATAAAGAGTTTCAAGATTTGCTTGGAGGAAGTTAGAGAGGAAAGGATATTTTATCATATGATGGATTTGCATTTGATATAAAGAAAAGAAGTAAGAATATGATAATTTGGAGATGCAGTGTCAGAAATAAAAAAGTGCATTGTCCTGTAATGATCAAACAAAAAGGAAAAGCTTTTGTACCAAGTAATCATCAATAATGTCTTTCTATCCATTTCACTCTAAATATTTTACTTTTTCTCCATTTATCAAATATATATTCCTATAGATCAAAAATATCATCAACACTCTTTTTAAGTTTATTACCAAATAAGGAGATGAGTTTTCCCATACTCCATGAAAACCACCATAAAGAAAATAATGCAATAAAATAATACTTGAACTAAAAGAGTAACATGTCTCTAATGTGAAAAATATATTTTAGAACATTTTTCTAAAATCTCAGCAGCTGTTATTTCACCATTTTTAAATTTCTCCCAAGTTTCAAATATTTCCTTTTGTATATTTAAATAGATTTTTTTCTGTAATCTCTTCAATTTCTTTTCTGAAAGCATTTGTTGGTAAATTGTAATGGGATAAGCCTCTCTTTTTAGTTCATCTATCAGATTGTAGAAAGATTTAGAATTGCCCACATGTACATTTAACCTATTGTGGAATCCCTCAACATGATTATTTGTCCTGATTGGAGATTCATATGCAGACCAAGAAGATGGTGTTCACAGATCATCTTCAATCCAAATATCCTCAATATAAGTAATTAGGTCCTCCAACTTCTCAATTGCTTTCAAATGTTGTTTTATTTTATAGAATTCATTTGGAATAACATCAGCAGGTAGGAATGGTAAAGTCAATTGTACTTTCCTGCTATGGGGTTGTAGGTAAGTACTGGTCCAAATAGAACCGAATTAGGAGTCAGCCACTTAGAAGAGATGTAGAATTGAATAAAGATGAATATAGAACGAATTTGTAAGAACAATATAACTGTATTCTAAAGTAATACTAGACCTGTTGACTAAGAGAGTTGATTCAGGACTGAATGCCTCTTACTACCTATGCCCTGTCTTATATACAATTCCTTATCAGTTGTTTGTGCCATTGGTGTTAACAACAAGGTCTAACTCCAGATAAGGATTGTACACAACAAACAGGGTCAAGGGTTATCATATTAGGCAATAGTGATGTAAACAACAACAACTTTGTGTAGGTAAACCCTTAAGGGTCAATTGTTACATCATATTTATGTAAATAAACACTTGGTGTTGTTGTCAACATGTTTGCTTATGTAACATCTTATCTTTTGCCTATAAAAGGGCTTGATTCTGGTAGTTCGGTACCAGGAGCGGGTGAAACCGTACCCAGGTGAAACCGTACCTGAGTGAAATCGTACCCATGGTGGGTGAAACCGTACCCATAAAAGTATAGTTAATTGAAGATGTATTAATACTAAAGAAAGTCATATATAATACTAAGAAAATCATCATAAAGAAATATTGAAATATAAAAGATGAAAAATCTGGAAAAAGTAGGATAAAAAAAAGAATACTATGGAACATAAATATATGATGTTTGAATTAAAAGTTCATCAGCCAATAATCCTCCAAGTCTATAATTTTCCCAGATTTCAAATATTTTCCTCTCTATCTGAATGGTTCTTATGGACAATCCATATATAGACCAATTCTCTGGTTTCCATATGGAGTTCATAATCTAAGTAGCCTCAAAATATTCTAATAAATCTCCAAACTTTTCTTTTTCCATCAGTTCAGATTTTAATCTGTAAAATGTTGGAGCAATGATGTCAGCAGGCAGAAAACTTAAGGCCACCAGCTTCGCATAATGAAAATCTTAATACAACATTGAACTAGATTAAATTCCATATGAATTTACCTCTTTTCAATCCTGCAAGATAAACTTTGTCCAAAAATATTCAGGAAATTTGTTTTGACCTTCTAAGTAAGCTCTTTCCAAAGTGAAAGTTTTCTTTTTCGATTTTAAAATGACTGTCTTTTTATATTTTAACAATCTTTTTATTGCTTTTGGTTTAGTTATTACTATTTAATAATATAAGATAACTAGGTTTTAATCTTCAATTAATTATACTTTTATGGGTACGGTTTCACCCGCCATGGGTACGGTTTCACTCGGGTATGGTTTCACCCGGGTACGGTTTCACCCCTATTCGTTCGGTACCATCTACCCTAGAGGCAACATCTACTCTATTACTTCTAGCATCATGTGGTAAGTACCATTAATATCATATCTACTATCTATAGTTCATAAGTGTACAGCTCCCATTCTTGAAAATTCTAAATGCTCCATCATCATCTAAGTTAGCTCCATGCATTATATCTTCAAAAGAACTCTCTATTTGATTTTGGGCATCATCTACATTAATACTATCTTCTTGTATGATTTCAGTTGACATACACTCTTCTTCATGATCAACTTCCATGATATTCTTGTTCTCTGGAGCAGTATGCAGGGTTTCATAATAATTTGTTGGTAATTCTCCTTCCAATTGAAATGTAGTAACAACAGCTTCTGTCATGCTCTTCTCTTCCATTATTTTGTCAAGAGTTAAAGCTTGACTGTCCACCTCCATTGGAGTGTTACCTTCAGTTTCTGATTGTTGAAAAAGTATGGAAATGTAATCATATTTGTTCAAAATTACTTTTAATTGACATTTGTTGATTGTTGTGCACATTGACATACACACACATACACTTTTAGACTGAAAAACTGGTAAATTTACTCACTACTGATATTATCACTCAAACCCATAAATAAACCATTAAATTATGTATAGGCTTTTGGTAACGCAAAATAACATAATAAACAATCAAAAATATGTGAATTATTTAATAAAACAACAGTTAAAATGTGAATCTCATTTTTATCACTTATATTTATCATTTCCAATATAAAAATAAGTCTTTGGCCATTTTCAATCCAGGCCGTTTTCTACTATATTCTATATTTATAGCATTCTTTCTTTTATTCTCACTTTTTCCATGTTTTTTATCTTTTATTCTCAAATATTTCTTTATATCACTTTCTTTAGTCTTAATACATCTACAATTGACTATACTTTTTATAGGTACAAGTACATACTCTGCTATTGAACTTTCATATTGTTACTTGCTTAAGTATTATATTTTGAATACACCACTTAGCATAAATCTTGCTATAAACTTACTAAATGTGCAATTCCTCAGCAAAGTACGGAAAATTAAAATTTTAAAGGACAAACACACTGAAAGTATTTTGCTTTATTCAAACAGATAAAAAGTAATTCTAGCACTGTGATTTGAATACAATTGTTCAAAATGTAAGTGAAAACAACTTTTTTGAATGTTTTTCTTTTATATTAGGGTTAAAAAAGAGGATTAGTAATTTTGAGACGTTAGAACAATGTTATATTATAAACAAAAAGTTTATTAATATCACAGAATATAAGTAAAACATTAACTATTATATTTCTGAAGTGCACAACTTTCCAAAGGGTGGTTTGTAGATCAGGCTTGACATCAAAGCTCATCTACTCAATGACAAGGAGGGCTTGTCCCTCCAAGTTTCTTCAGTATTGAACAAAGTACTTCTCTAATGTTTACTTCCACATAAAACTTATAAATTTAATAATATAATATGATTTTAAAAGTTGTCTTAAACGTCTGGTAAGAAAATCATCATTTTCATCAAACAGGCTGGCAGCATGTAGTGTTGCACAAAAGCATAGAACAACAAGGCAAATGATCAACTTATTCATTTTTGTAGTTTGTACAAAAATTTATAACTAAAATACTTAAACAAGTAACAATATGAAAGATGAATAGCAGCGTAGATAGGAGATTATCAAGCTACCAAATTAATACCCAATGTTGAGGAGTAGAAGGCTTGTTCCAGGGGAGGTTGTCTCCAGATGATCCACTGAAGTGATCAGTTGGAGAGATGAAGACTACTTGAATAGAACAGTGAGGATTTATATACTTTCAGGTTTGCCTCATATATCCAATCATTAGTTTACAACTGCCAAACTGTCTAGTTCATATTTATCTTTAGTAATAAGATGTTACAAAGTTCAGCATTTAGGAAGGTTACTTAAATTATAACTTGACCAATTGTTGCCAATTGTCTTCACAATGAACGCCATTTTCCGCTGACAGTAATCGAACTGAAGTGTTTAAAAAGCAAGAATTTGAAATTTTGATAAATAACCTATTTGACTCAAATGAAACAAAAAACAATTTACAAAAGTAAAAATCTTCATTATCTAAATAAATATCTAAAACTATATGGATTGCAACAACACCTGTTTCACTTTTATCTAGATTATTACACTGGAAATAGAAATATAGAAATGAATTTGTTTGATTATAGTTGTCATAGTTACACAAAAATATTCTTTCCTCTGAATTCTCTCTTGTTTTAGAACTGATAAAAATATCAGCATTTCCATCATTAAATTCTCCATCTTTCTTTAAAGCTACCACCAGTTTATTTGTAAACACCTCTGTTCCATTGAATATTTTATAGTTGAATGATGCTGCCGGATAGTTTATTCTTTTGCAGTTATCTGTTATATTCTCGAGATTTTCATGATTGTTAACATATTGAAAATTAATATTTTGATCTATAAAAGAAAGAGATGATTGGTTAGTGTTGTATTAGAAAGTAAATCACAAAAATTTCCCTTGAAAATACCTGTATCAATCATTTGAACTTGATTAATTATATCAGCAACACCATTTTTGAATAAGATTTCATGAATATTCATTGATACTTTTGCCTTTATGCTAACCAGTTTATTCAAATCATACTTTTCACCTAAACCAAATACTATGTCACATGGTGCTATTTTCAACCAGAAATCAGTCCACGACTGACAACTTATAAATGATTTTGAATTATTAAATTCGGCCATTTTGAATTCTGGTTCAAAAATTTCAATAGAAGATCTTACCACATTATTTGAAATTGTGTCCAATTTGATTGAAAATTGTTTTGTTTTCTCATTCTTCATACTTATAATTAATGATGA